TTCCCTCTCTTTATCTCTCCCCATCCCCTCGGCCGGCGGGGTCGAGAGGATCCGCGCGAAATGCGCGCGAGGCTGAGGCCGAGGCGAGGCTGAGGCTGAGGCAGGCTGAGGCTGAGGCTGAGGCAGGCTGAGGCTGAGGCAGGCTGAGGCTGAGGCCGAGGCTGAAGGCAGACTGAGGCTGAGGCTGAAGCAGGCTGAGGCTGAGGGTGAGGCAGGCTGAGGCTCGCTCTCTCCCTCGCCCCCTCCCCCCCCTCCCCCCTCCCCCCCATCGCGCGTAGCATATCACGCGGCTCGCATAGCACAACTCAGGAGAGCCCCCCTCTCTCGCCGCCAGGGCGGCGCTTTTTGGGGCGAGGTGTTTTTGATACATCCCCCTTCTCTCTTTGTTCCCTCTCTTTATCTCCCCCCATCCCCTCGGCCGGCGGGGTCGAGAGGATCCGCGCGAAACGCGCCCGACATAGCACAAGTCGGGCTCGGAAAACAACGTTCTCGATCCAAAAGATGGAAATTATTTTTCATATGCCAAACTCGTTTTCACGATTTGTGCTATGTCATTGGTGCCATGCTTGAGCGACCGAGTATACATTGCAATCCCACCAGCCCTTTGGGCGACAGGTGGTCTAACGAGGTTCTCTTTCCTCTTCCACAGCCCCTCTTTCCTTCGGGGAGGGGGACCCTCCCCCTCTCTTCCCTGAGGTTTTTCGGAAAGGATCGCGAGGTGTCGGAGGCTCCTTTTTCGGCCCCTGGGAGGGCCATATTTTGCCACCCCTCGCGAGGATCGTGGCCCCCGAAGGGAGGACGCAAATCGAGTACCCCCCTCTTTTGACCGACCGCCTCCAAGATGGCCCCAAGAGGCCCTTCATGGCTCCCAAGAGGCTCCCAAGAAGGCCCGACGAGCGCCCCAAGAAGCCCCAAGAGGCCTCCCCAAAACCGCCAGGATGCCCCCGAGTGGCCCCCGAGCAGCCTCAGAGAGCCCAAGATGACCTCCAAGATGGCTCAGATAGCCCAAGCTGGCTCAAGATGTCTCCCAAGATGCTCTTAGCGGCCCCAAGACCGCTCCAAGTCAGCTCGAGATGGCCACGGAGCCTCCCAAGCCCCCCTCGCTGTTTGACTATTCGTGTCTTTTCCTCTCTCTCTCTCCCCCCCGTCAACTCTCATGGGCATCGTTTCTGGATGGGCTGGTGGGGATACTGTTCTGATCGCGAGCACACCTGAAGTGCCGAGCGCCGTCCGAAAGACGTAACAAACAAGCTACGGCCTAAATTGCGCAAGCACAGAAGAGAGGGAGGGCTGGTGGGAGTACTTTTTTCGGTCGCGTCCACCAGCGAAGGCGCTAGCGGAGTCAGAAGCGCTACGGGTCACGACAACGGCCTAATTAGCAGCTAAACGCGCCGCGAGCCGGGCTGGTGGGGGTTCGCGAAGCGTCAAGAATATTTCAGGTGGGGCCGAGAAATCTGGCCGCGGAAGAGTGGTAGTCTAGTTGTCTTGGGAAACGAGACTCCCCATTGCGGGGCTTGATGTCGCCAACTCCCACGCTCGCGTAAACATCTCGCCCTCTCCCAGGTAACTTGTTTGGCAAAACACGTTCGGCCGCGATTGCGGTTTCCAACAGGAGCTTGTCTTCGCGTTTCTACGGCCTCGCTGCCGCGCGCTCGCTCGCGCGCAGAACGACTGGCTGGTTTGGCGCAACCGATGCGGCTGAGATTGCGCTTGCCGGTGGGATCTTCCCAGCACGTCTCGAAGGTCGCGCTGGCGCACGGGCGCTTCAGCGCGGGTCGGTGATTCGGGCGGCGGAGATCTCATGCTGAGACCGACAACGCCGGCAATGATGATGACGAAGGCGGTGGTGGGGATGGTGACGATGACAACGGCAAGGCCAACGACGGCGCTGATGCTGGCGGCGAAATGACGACGATGATGCCCATGTGCCAGTGATGAAGGTGACTGCGATGACGGCGGTGGCAATGGCGGTGATTGTCGATGGCGGGAATGGCGGTGATGCAATGGCGGCGGCGAAGGCGATCTGACAACGCGCGCGCCCAGAAATTCAAAGCGCGTGATAATGATGATGGCGGCAATGGCGGCGATTGCTTGCCGATGCCGGCAACAGCGGTGATGGACGCGGATGATGGTGATGAGGAAGTGCGCGCGCAGAAATCAAACACTTCTCCATTAACAATGACTGCTTCCAAATCTGATGTGGAAAGCTCAACATTGAAACCTGTCAACGATCAGCGGTTACGACATTCTTTCAGCAGTGAGTCGTGCGTGGCGGCGCGCGCAAGTGGCTCGCACCGGGATATATGATGCAGATTCACGGGCTGGGCGCGTGCGAGATCAACGAGAATGCACCGCGTGGTGACACCAGAAAACTGCAACTGGGCGAAGTTACTAACACCATATGGTTTTTCCCAGAATTTTAGCGAGTGCGCGCGGGTAGAACACCTGCAACAGCTCAATTCGAAAACCACTGGCTTGTTTTGCATATTGACATGCAAGCGCGAACAATGTGCTTGGCATGGTTTCGAAAGGTGTGCGCATGTGTAAGCTTTGTCGTTGTTTCTTTTTTGTGGGAAGTTATTGCAAACATGACAGCTTGAGATACACGGGTCTGCGCGAATGGTATTTGACAGCGGTGGATGACCAGGGGGTCGATACCAACTCGCCAAATCATGTGCAACATATACATCGAAACGAAAGGACAAACGTTTTGATATGCGCAACGACACAAAACGCAATACGCGCAGGGGGCCCGTTAACCCCAGCCCGGGGGGGGGGGGGCAGGGCCGGGTCGACTCTCGTCTTCAGAAAAACAGAAACCATGCTCGCATGTTCACACAACCTGGAGTCGTCCACTCCACTGCTCGCTCTTGTTGGGCCAACCACATTCGGCCACGATTGTGACTCCCGACTGGAAATTGCCACCTTCGGGGATCTTCTGACCCGGGTCAATCCAGACCTGGGTCAGCAGGAAACCAACAATCTGCAATGCAGGAAACGAAAAAATGCAACGCAAGTCTTCGCAAACCCGGGTCAGCCAATATGCGCGGCCGCCCTGCGGCCACGAGCGGCTCGCTCACCCGGGTCCGCCAGAGGGGATCTTCGCAGGATCCTGCAGGATCCGGTGTCCTGGCTGACCCCCGTTTGCATCGACCCCGTCTCTTGAGCCCCGCCACCTGCTTCACATCTGGTGTAAGTCGAGCCTGTCCCCCTACAGGGGGATGTTGGGCTAAAAATAAAACAAATTAGAAAAATACCCCCCAAATCGTCAAATACTAGAAGGATGCCCCCCAAACGTATTAGAAAAATGCAAAAAATAACGAATAGTCAAAAAATCGTTCCCCGACTATCTTGGGACTATTTTTTGACATCCCCCCTGTAGAGGGACGGGCCCGACCGAAATCTGGTGCCCGGGTCGTGGCCGCCTCGCTGGCGTGCGCTGGGCGGGGCTGCCGAGATCTTTCGCCGGCTGCCCGCCCGCGTGGGCCCTGCCGTGGGCGCCCTGTTGGTGCCCCGGCGGGCGTGCGGTGAGGCCTCTCGCCCAGAGTGCCCGGTGTTCGGGCGTGGCTGGCCGCGTGGGGCGCCCTGGTTGGCGCCGCGGGCGCCGGGTGGCCGCAGAGCTTGTGACGTGTTTTTACGCGTCGGAGAAGTAGGAGCCCCGGCCGAGGACGCAGAGTCCCCGGGTATAGGGTGTTGTATTCTTCGAGGATCAGGGGGAGTTTATCGTTGAATCGCGACTCCCCGAAAGGGGGCCACCTGATTTGCACCCAGAGATCGAACGCATTGAAGCAATCACGACGGAATTTTTTCGCTATGCTCGGCCTCTATAGGGGCCCTCGCCGGGCCCCAAGACCGTCAAAAAAACGACTCGGGGTGAAAAACCGGTCCCGGGGAAGGGGTCGAGCCTTCCCGGAGACCCCGCATTGAACAAATCACGACGTCGGATCTCTGGGTACCGTTTTTTCTATTGAGGGAGAAGATGGGTGCGGACTGCGAGATTCAAGAGCCACCGTCGTAGCGTGAAGGCCGGTTGCACTTGGAAGCCGTCCACCTGAGCTGTGCTGTGCAGAGGGAGGAGAAAAAAAACGCCACAAACATAATAAACTTTTGGCGTTCCGCGCGGGTTTCTTGGATCTGGCCTGGACCCCCTCCATGGCGCGCGGAGCGCGCCGGGGGCGGCGCCGGAGGCGCCGCCGAGGGGGCCCAGCGCGGACCCAAGAGATCCGCGCGGAGCGCCCAAAGTCTATGGTTATGGCGTTTCTTCTTCTTCGATGTAGCTCACGCGACGCAGCTTACACCACAGAGCTTGCACCGCATAGCTTGCACCACATAGATTGCGCCACGATACCAAGCACCTTATCGTAGCTCCCCGCAGTTGCGGATAAGAGTAAGGGGGCGGCGGGGACGTCGGCAGTCTGCGAGGCTTTGAAGAAGCGGGCCACAGAGGCATAATGTACAAATTCTACAACGAGCTCGACGCAGGCGCCGCTTCTTTCCTGAAAGCGCTGTGGGTGGGTCGCGGGGTGGGTCGCGGATGGGTCGCGGGCCAGGTCGCGGGTGGGTCGCGGGTGGGTCGCGGGTGGGTCGCGGGTGTGTCGCGGGTGGATCGCGGGAGGGTCGCAAGGTGGACCGCGGGTGGGTCGCGGGCCCTGTCGCGGGTGGGCTGCGGGTCGCGGATGGGTTGCGGGCCGGGTCGTGGGGGGGACGACGACAAACAACACACAACAAACAACAAACAACAAACAACGACAACAACAAATAATCTGCACCGCAGAACCTCACTTCAACCACGCTCCCAGGGACAATGAATGACCGCTCGGCCCCTCGCTCTAACAATTCCACAGGGCAATATCTCAATGCTTGGAGGTTCGCGCCGGCACACACATATTATCATACATGTACGCGTGTGACTCTATCACTGTATGCACACACGTATGCCTGTTCTTCTCGCTCTCTTGAGCCCGAATCGATCGACAACTTGCGATTTGTGTCACTGCGATGGGGATGCTCTGCTGCCCGTGCTGAACTGGGCCCTGAGGCTAGGCACACGAGATGGCTGATCGGACATGCTTCCTGTTCTGCGCCAACAAACGCGGCGGTCGAGTTCCAGAGTGGCCTCGCAGCTGTTGGGATGGGTTCTCCCTGACTCCTCTACTTCACTTTCACGCTTGCAACTTGAAAAGACCGGCTGATCGCTGTTCCCACCAAGAGTGTCGTGCCGGCTAGCTGGACGACCGGCGCTCTGTGGAAGCACTGCCTGTCAACGCTGTGCTGGCCTCTCTGAGCAATGTGAAGGGCCTTTGATACTGGAACGGGACATTCCTCTATTTGCTATCACTGCCTTTGCGCCGTAACGACCAATCATCCATTGTGCATTGATCGTTACCTGCCATTCGCTCTCGCTTCCCCTTCGTCCGCTCCGCGCCCCGACAACGCCCCTCCCTCGGACGATGTTTCTTCTAATGTAGCTCACGTTCCCTCGCTCAAGGCGCACCTCAGTACGGGGAGAAGCCCTTGCCGCCCGTCACCTCGGGCGCGCAAGATTAAGAGGCAACTACTGGGAGGTCTTCGTCGGAAGGGTTAAGAAAGATTGCGCCCCATTGGGGGGCTGCTACGCCAGAAAGGGCCTCGGATTAAGCGGGATTGAACCGGATTAAGCGAGACTAAGCGGGAGTAAGCCGGATTAAGCAGGATTAAGCTGGATTGAACTGGATTTCGGACCAGGGCAAAATCAGAATTCGAACGGATTTGAACTGGATTGACATCCCAGTAGTTGCATCCGAACGCAAGAGGAGGGACCAACATACAAAACAACCTTCCAGAAGTCCGCCCGGACCTCTCCGATGGCGCTGGCCCCCTCTCGCCCACCCTGGCGCGCGGAGCGCGCCGGGTGGCGGCAGAGGCGCCGCCGGGGGGCCCAGCGCCAGTCCAAGAAAAACGGGCGCGGAGCTCCGAAAGTTGATACTCATGCATACAGTCAACCAATACAGTAAGGATGCGCGATAAGGATGCAAGGGCCTCGGACGCCCAGTTCGAAGCTTTTCGAGCGGGGCGCGGCCAACGAAAGCGGCCATGGATGGACCGAGGAGGCAAGGATGCAAGGGTACCCTTGGGAAGGTTGCCCATCCTTGCTGCGCGGGTTGCCTGTATTCGTCTTCGTCAGGCCACCCTGGGCGCGCAGGAAGGCTTCCCTTCTCGTGGCGACCCGCGTCCAGATCACGACCCATCTCGACTCCTCCCGCAGGCGAATGGGCAAGTGGCGGGATGGGGCGTCATCGGAGGGGCAGCAGAGGAGGCAAGCCCGAGCTGGATCGAACCGCGACGTCGAAGCGCATCGCGCAGGATCGCCAGCGATTCGACTCGAGCTCTGACCTCCGCGCCTCGCTCCGGCTGGCCCCAGCCGATGCCAGTGGATCGAGTCGAACCGAATCGGAATCGCAGCCCCGCTTCCTCCTCCTCCTCCTCCTCGTCCTCCTCATCCTCCTCCTCCTCCTCCTCGTCCTCCTCATCCTCCTCCTCCTCCTCCTCCTCCTCCGATCGCGGGCGGCCCCGAGAGCTTGCTGCGGGGGTTGGCCGCCCCTAGCCGCCCCGGCGTACGCCACGGTGCCGATGTGGCTGAAGTGGTCCTTCAGCTCCTGCAAGGGATCCCAACTTCGCGCTTCGCGCTGCGCGAAGCGCGAAGTGCGAATAACTTCGCGCTCTCGCGCCGCCTCCCAGGGGAGAAGAGGAGGATGAGGAGGAATTGGAGCCGAACCGCGAAGCGCGAATAACTTCGCGCCCTCGAGGGCGCCCTTGCTCCTGCCACTGCAGGCCCGCAGGGATCCCCGACACCAGGAGCTTCGTGCCGTCCTTCGGGGAACGAACAACGACGTAAACACTAAAACTCGGAGGTCCGCGCGGAATTCTCGGATCTGCGCCGGACCCCCCTCCCTGGAACGCGCGGAGCGCGCCAGGGGCGGCGCCGGAGGCGCCGCCAGAGGGGTCAGGCGCCGATCCGAGAAATCCGTGCGAACCCTCGATGTTTTTTAATGTTTATGTCATTGTTCGTTCCCCCAGTCCTTCGACTTCGGGTCCATCTCGAGGGTGATCGGGGAGCCCTTGGCAGGGCCGTCGGCCCTCCCCATCTCGCTGCCCACTCCTCGTTCCGCCGCTCCCGTCGCTCGGCCTCCTCCCTGTCCCTGCCCCTCCGGCCCCTCAGCCTCCTGCCTCCCCCTCCCCCGCCCTCCCGCTCCCCGCTTCCTCCTCGGCCCATCTCCGTTGATCCTGCGGCCCGCTCTTCAGTGGAGCTGAGGCTTGACGCTGACCACCGCTGGGATACGCGAATAAACAACCCTCCTCCTCCCCCCCTGCTCCCTTCGTGAACGTTTTCTACATCTGGCGTTTCGACATTGGGCGGAAGGGGGAGAGGGGGGGGGTCTGGCTCTGGACCTCTGCTTCATGCGACTGCTTGCAACAGTGCGTCCTATGGGTGAGACTCCAGCTGCTTCAAGAAGGGGCCAGAAGCAGCCAAGATCTACTCCATTGGGGAGGGGGAGGGGGGGGCGAGGGCCCGCGCCGATCGGCAAAACGATGAACAACAAAAACGTTCACCTTCCTCCCTCCTCGTTCAGCCGTTGTCTGGCGGGGCGCTGGGGTCTCTTCGCCGCGCAGGCTTCGCGGCACTTCCTTGAGGCTGGACCCGTTCAGCGTCTGGAGCGCCTGCGCCGTGTGGTTCGGGTCGTCGTAGCGGATCTCACCGCTCACGGTGCCGCCGCCGCCGCCTCCGCCCTTGCCGCCGCCGCCCCCCTTGCCCTTCATGTAGCTCTCCCAGGAGACACTCGTTGCGCCCGCCCCCTCCCCCACGCACTCGCCCTTCGAGCTCCCCAGCGAAGGATCGGGCCCTCTCCGACCAACACGGCCCAAGAGAGCCCCACAGAAACGCAAGAGGGACAACGCCGATCGAGTCGAAGGGAAGGCCTCTTGATCTCTTGCCCGCCGCTGGGCGGAGGGGTGGGCGGCCCTGGGAGGGGATCGCTGGGCTGGTCCCGGAGGGGGTCCCGAGGCCAACAGGGCCTACAAGGGCCTCCACGAGAGCTCGCGAGCGTCGACGTCGTCTTCGCCGTCCCTCTCCAGGTCGGTGGCACTGGCCGCAGGGCCTTCACAATACAAATCAAGGCAAGATCGAGATGGCATCGGATCGAGACAGCTCAAGACATTCTGAGATTCGGCGGTTCTGAGGGATGCATCGGGCGCCACGGCCTTCCCACAGCGGTCTGGTTAGCTCTGAGAGCGTTCTGGTCCCGATCCTGGACTCGATGAAGGAAGGGGGGGGGCGGGCAGCGTCCAACCAGTGCTTGGCCGAGCCGACCCGAGCCAGCCGCAGGACCGTCCCCAGAGAGGGGGTGACGAAAACAGGGGGCAAACAGACCTACCTCGCTTTTGACCACCCTCGCTTCCAAGAGATACCAGGCGATGCCAAACTACGGCCTGTACCGGTCAGGCTGCTTGACGAGGAGGCGCGTGGTATGACTTGGTTTTGCCTGGAAGCGAAAGCGGGGTAGGTAATTCACGCCCTGAAAAGATCGCGCCATCCTCCCCCCTTGTCCAGGCGAGGGTGGGGTGGGGAGGCATCCGGATGGGTGGGCGCAGCGGGTGTCTCCTGCCTGCATCATCGACATCATGGCCCACGGGTCCATGCCACCCCAGGAGCTCCACCAGTCGTTGCTCGAGCCACCACCGCCGCCCCAGCCGCCGCCGCCGCCCTTGCCGGAGCCACCGTAGCCGCCATCTTCACAGGGCTGGATGGTGCCAGAGTTTATCCCGCTGAGGAACTGCTGCAGGGTGGAGGAATCGTGCCTCGCGGGGTCGAAGTCCTTCGAGCCCTGGTGGCTGACGAACTTGTACCAGGCCTGCTTGTAGCCCTCTCCCTGGCGCTGGATCATTTTGACCTGATCGACCAGTTGGGTCTTCTGGCCGCCTGAGAGGTCGGACCCCACCTTCACCCTTCCTCATTCCTTCCCTCCTCCTCCTCCTCCTCCTCCTCCTCCTCCTCCTCCTCCTCCCTCCTGTTACATCCCTCTTAGGGTCCATGCCATCGCCCACCCATGGACGAGCAACCCTTTACGTTAGTTCCTCCCAAGCTTCCTTGGTCCGACTCCGCTATGGGCACGATGGATCCAGAGTTGGCCCCCTCCAAGAAAACCTGCAGGAAAGTCTCGTCCTTCAAGTTGGGGTCAAACTTCGGGTGGGCATTCTCGGAGCAGTAGTTGTCCCAGGCTTTTTTGTGTCCTGGACTTCTGCGCTGCCATTCCTTTGGGGAGGCCGATCGCGGATACGCTCGAAACAGTACTCTTCGAGGTCTGGAGCCAAGAGGTCTAGACTCCATATCCAGATTCCCAGAAAGTTCCCCGACAAGTCAAGAACACTTTCTTTTTGGTTTTAAAAGGGCCCTCGGAGCCTCTGGGGTTCTCTTTACAAGGTGGTCGACGCCTTAGCCGAGCAGTACAGTCTTCCCGAAAAACCAAGAACACTGATAGGCCCACCCTGCGGGCGAGAAGGGATGGAAGGGGGAACATGCACTCCTTTCGGCGTACATCTGACCCGCATCATAGTCACGACATTAAAGTGCTAGTGCTACCGATCGCGGACCAGGATGCCCGACACCAAAGAACATGGGCGCGACAGAATTCATAGGCTTCGCGGCCGTGCACGCTGCCTGTTCGTCGGCGATTCCCTTGTGAAGGATGCCGCGCCACATAATCCGCTGAGCAAGGGGATCGACGAGCAGAAGCCGTACGCCACGCGAACAAATTTTGCCAGGTAATCAATACCCTGAGCCAGCATTCATATCCGAATGCGCCATCCAATAATCCATACTGCTCGTGCTGCGGGCTGAAGGGGTGGATCGACAGAGGTGAGAACGCTGCTGCTCAGAACTGGCCGAACATGGCATACACCAACGAGCCAAAGCAAACGCAACACGTCCACGCTCCTCGAGCTTGCGGGCGACTTGCCACACATAATCGCCAACATCACCGCGGACTACCTCGTACATAACAGCATTGTTCTGACGTGGCAGTGTGGACATGCAGATCAGACAACATATCCGCCGACCCCTTGGGGATCATCGGCGTGTGAGATGCTCCCCCCTCCCCAAACCCCTCCCTCGGGAGCCCGGTCCGGTCGATTCGGAGGGGGGGGGGGCCGACGAGCGACTCACGGGCTCTTCTGGGCCCAAGAAAGCCTAAAGATGGGCCAAGAAGGCCCCAAGAGGCCTCCAAGACGGCCCACGAGGGCCCCGAGACGCCAAACCAGCGCTCCAAGACGCCCAAGATGACCCCAAGACGGGCCAAGAGGCCTCGAAGACGGCCCAAGAGGTCCCAAACAAGCCTCCCAAGAGGGCCCCGAGAGGCTAAAATTGTTGATGTTCCATTTGTTTTTCTGTGTTTTTTGTCTTTCCGCCTTTTCGGCTTCCCGACGCTCCAAGACGGCCCAAGAGGCCCCGAAAACAGCCCCAAGACGGCCCAAGAGGTCCCCAAGACGGCCCCAAGACGGCACCAAGAGGGGCCCAAGAGGGCCACAAAACATTCAAAACATCTAGCTTTCCGCCCTCAGGAGCCCCAGGAGGCCCCAAGAGTGCCCCAAGAGGCCGCCAAAGCTTCCAAGAGGCCCCCAAGACGCCCCAAGGAACCCCCAAGAAGCCCCCCAGAGGCTCCGAAACGGCCCCAAGACGGCCCAAGAGGTCCCCATGACGGCCCAAGAGGGCTCCAAGACGGCACCAAGAGGGGCCCAAGAGAGCCACCAAACATTCAAAACATCTAGCTTTCCGCCCCCAGGACCACCAGGGGGGCCCAAGAGTGCCCCAAAAGGCCGCCAGAGGCCAGCAAGAGGCCCCCAGGACGCCCCAAGGAACCCCCAAGAAGCCCCTCAGAGGCTCCGAAACGGCCCCCAAGTGGTTTCAAAACCGTATTCGATAGGCCTCCGAGAGGCGTGCCGCGAGATCCCAATACACATCCCAGGAGCCTCTAACCCATAACCCATGACCAAGAGCATTCCTTCCGTGTCCCTCTCCGTCTCCTCACCCTTCTTTTCCATCCCGGTCCATAAGTGGCTTCAAAACAGCCTTCCAGAAGCCCTGGGGAGGCGTGCCGCGAGACCCCCATACACATACAACAAGCCTCTACTCAGGGTCTCCCTTGTCCTCCTCCTCCTCCTCTTCCTTCTCTTGCTCCACTTCCTCCTCGTTCCTCTCCTCTTCTTCCTGCCCCGCTTCACATTATCCTCTTCAACGTTTATTCTCCAAATTTCCCGCCTCACCGCCCATCCTTTTCCCCCGTCCTCCTTTTTCTCCCCAGTACGCGCACCCGAATGGGCATCATGTGCACGTCTTGCATTTCAGGGTGCCCTTCTTTGCGTCGAGCGGGACATTGCGCGGGTCGAGGTACGCAGACTTTGGTCGTCGTCTCTTGCACGGGCCGTTACACTGATACGCCTGGCAACTGCGCGCTGTGAACCCGAGTGCCTTACAGGCTCCGCACACCACTTTGGCTCGTTTTGCCTGTCGATGAACTTCCACTTGCTTCTGCTTCAAGTGTTTCATTTCCGAGAGCGTTCCTCCGCACGCCGCGCACGTCAGCCACCCGCGGGCGCGGGCCACGAAAACCGTAAGCGCTACTCTATTTTTTGACACCAAACCAAGAATCTGCGCTGGAACCGCGGAAGGAACCGCTGCTCCGCTACCATATATGGGCCGCGTGAAAACCGCCGACCCCTTGGGGATCATCGGCGTGTGTGATGTGTCGCCCTCCACAAACCCCTCCCCCCAGAGCCCAGTCGGGTCGATTAATTGCACACGTTGGTGGGCGACCCGCTAGCAACCCATACTGCGCCACTCAATGGAACAACGCGCACGGAACACTAACACATGACACTTTGAGACCCCCCTCACCCCACCCCTACCCGGAGACGCACACGTACACCACAAAGCCTGCATCTGCAGCAGGACTGCCCAGGGCCCGCCCCGCAACAAAAAACCGACGCACCCAAACCAAGCACCCCAAGGGGTCGGCGGTGTGGCGTAAGCCAGAGAATCTTACTGATTCAGAAATGCATCCTCGAGAACATAGGCACGGTTGAAACATTTCCTCTGGGGAGAGATCCTCGTCCGCTCGCACGGCTTGTGGTGGAGAAGTGCGTGCGCAACCACTTCGGATCTCCCAGCACCTGGAGGATGCAGCGATTCTGCGGTCAGAATCCGCCAAGTGGAAAGCCGCAAGCCCTAGTGTCCCAGGAGACATGCTCACGGGCAAGCTCCTAGATGCTGCGGTCAGAAATCGCTAAGTGGAGAGCCGCAAGCCCTCGTGTTCTAACACCGACCCCAACGCTTTGGGATGCAACGATTCAGCGGTCAGAATTTGCCAAGTGGAGAACCGCAGACCCTGGTGTTCCAGATAACATGCTCACGGGCAAGCTCTTACAGTCAGCCCGTGTAGCAAGGATGCGCGATAAGGATGCAGGGGCCTTGGAAGCCCCTTTCGAAGCTTTTCGAGCGGGGCGCGGCCAACGAAAGTGGCAAATGATGGACCGAGGAGACAAGGGTGCAAAGGTAATCTTGGGAAGGTTGTCCATCCTTGCGATGCGGGCTGCCTGTACCGCGCCCAACGCCTTTTCAGCTTCACAGCGAACCCATCGGCGTGGACCAGCACACATCTCCACAGGCGGTCCATAAACCCATCCCCGAGGGGGAACGAGCGGGGGAGACCGGCTCCGGCGGGGAGGCATCAAGCCGGAATTGGCGATGCATCGCCGCCAGATCGGCGATTGGCCCCCGACTGCGAAGCCGCGCGTTTTTCCTGGGCGGGGCGGGACATCGGGCCTCTATATATCGGCGATGCGGCGGCGACGGGGCGCCAGCGCGTTCCCCCCTGAGCCCGCCCCTTCCTCCAATGCTGCCCCCGATATCCCCCGGGGGGCCGACGCGCACGAGACCAGAGCCCCGACCCCGGGAGCTCCCCCGGGCATCGCGCGCGTCGCGTTCGGCGACGAGGACAGGGCCAACCTCCCGAAGGAGCCGACTGCTGGCACGGGCACCGCCGCCGATCCTCCCAGGAGTGAAGGCGCCCATGCAGGGGCACACACGCAAGTGGACATACCCGAATTCCAGGATCCCCCATCTCTCCCCACGTGCTCTGGCTCCTCGCCTTCCCCATCCCCGCTTCCTGCAGCTGCCCAGATCTGATGCTGGGAATCGACGCTCACTCGTGTCTGTGTGTGCTCTTCTAGGGGGGCAAAAAAT